GGGTGTGTAGGAAAGCTGCCTCCATCCTCAAAGATCCCACCCACCCCCAGCACAGACTGTTTGCCTCCCTACCCTCTGGTCGGAGGTTCAGAAGTGTGAAATGCAGGACCTCCAGACTGAAAAACTCTTTCTTTCCCTCTACCATCAGATTCCTAAACAGCTGAGGAGTTTATTACCAGGAAGTACATGACGTACTGTTGACCTGTACTGTTTACATTCTCAGTTTGCACATGCATAATTGCACAGACTGTTGACTGCTGCACATGCTGCTCCCATGCAGCGTACATTCTCTTATTATATTCTTATATATTTTTATTATATTGCTGCATTTGCTGCTTAAAGTGCCTTAGATTTTGTGTTACTTATTTATCTACTTTATATTTCATTTGTATTTTGTGGCATTCATGTGGACATCAAAGTAAGAATTTAATTATACAAAGAAACACATTTCCTAACTGTGCATATAAGTGTAAAGAAACTGCCAATCAAAATCAAACAATCAGTGTGTTCAATTTAATCTTGAATATTTCATTTAATTTAATTAGCAGATTGGGTAACGTTCTTGTACCTTCTAGAGGAGGTATCTGTGTAGAGCAGCTGCCAGAGGGGTTCTTGCAGGTTTTCATACAAGGAGATCCACACGGCATGTAGTGCCATTCACATTCACCAGGGGGATTGTAGTAGTCACAAAAAAGAGCTGGAAAATTTGACAATGCAACATTATTTTGATGAAGATAATACCCATAATGCCCACTGTTTCAGATTGAAGTAAAAATTAAGAGGTCATACCACATGTGTTTTTCTTCTCAACATGGCAGTGGTATGCTTTGGAGTCTAGCAAAAATCCTTTTAAAATAGCTTTCATTTTAATTTTCTTTTTGGTAGTAACTAGTCACCTGGCTCATTGGAGAGGCACACAAGAACAAGGAACATCTAGCAGCACTGTGGGGTCGACCTCACAAATGCATGTAAGTCCTGTACTGGATGGAGTAGTCCTGTTCTGTACATGTGAACTGGACTGACTTGACAGTAGGTTTTTTGGAATATTGTAACTCCGAACTGCATTGTTTTCAGACTGACATCTCTTTTAAAGGGTGATAACTAGTTGCTTCACTTCCATCTGCCTGTTTTTCCTTGTGATGAACATATTGGTCAAGGCAGTTTAAGAGCGCATGACCACCATCAGGGCTTTCATGAATGACTTCACAAATGGGCTTTAAAAAAACAAAACAAACACCTGGGCAAGAATGAGCTTCAGCACTGGAATCCAGGTCCCCAATGTTGTTGACAGGCAGAGAAAAAAAGGAATACACATGCAGCTTAAGTCAAGGACAACCAAATATAGTGTAGCCTATACTGTAACTTCAATATTAGTGACAGTTATAGTTATTATTGTTGTTGTTACTGTTGTTGTTATTGTAAAGGCTTTAATGACCACCACAGAGAGCAACCCAAGTTTATAGACTACTAATTTATCTTAATCTTGCAGATTGTCCTGTGCAGGAGGATTTACCTCTATAACACGAATGCAGCATCGTCAGCTCTAATGGATTCAGCCAGAGCCCTTAATATAGAGGAGTTGCGACATTTACGGGTCAAAAAGGTCAGTGGGGCCAATAGTATGCGGAAAACACTGTGGCAAAAGCTTTTTGAGTGGCAGCGCTGAATTTGAAAACTGTGGACCACAGAAACTTAAAAACACATCTAAAAAGAGGAGAAGCAAATGGATTACTGCAATTCCCAGCAACATTTACTTTACCATTTCCCTGTTTAAAGTTGTAGTAAAATAAACATATTAGTAGAAACGTGTCCACATAAAAGCAGAATGGCCATTGCTGTCCTCATCATTTTAATTTCACCCACAATTTCTGCCTTGAAACATGGCCAAGCGCCAAGGGTTTTGTATGCCTTCAGGCTTCGCTAAATTCAGTAGATAGCTCGGCTACTTTAGCTAGTTAGTTAGGTACCTAATCTTTTTAAGTGATACAATATTCGAGAGACAAGGTTGTAAAATGTGTTTTGGCATGTCGCTGACTTAAAAATGTCACACGTACAAATATTGATATTGATTTCAACTTTTTTAGAAGACAGCAGACAAGTCAATATAAGTGTATGGCACTGCTCCTAATATTTGGAACTATTCAGTGTTCCCATGACCCACCATTAGTGTTAAAACAAAACAAACAAAAAACCCAATCAAACGGTCTTGTATAGTGATTTTCTACGCTTCATAGCACACTCCAAGTGCTTTCACACAATTTGGCCATTCACCCAATCACACGTCTAAATTACAGAGGACAGTTTTATCCAAAATTTAAATTACAATTTTAAAATTAAAAATAACCATGGAAAATGAATCATTCCAAAAGGAAAGTGAAAATTGAAATTGCACGTTGAACTGAAATATCAATAACAGAATGGATAAGATCAAATATAAATGCTCAGACTGAAAGTTAATGGGAAAACTTGTACCAAACAAACAAACAAACACACGAAAACAAGTAATAATAATAATAATAATAAAGCCGCCCTTATTGAGTCAGCGGAGATGTCGTCACCCTCTTTCTTAATCCACTCTGGATTCAGCCAGCCAGTCAGATCGCTTCTACGGAAGTTCCGTTGGGTCAAACCACTGTTAAACCCTTCGCTAACAGGGATTGAGACAGTCCGACATTCTTCGAGTGATGAGATAATGGCGAGAATGGGGTCACTATTTAAAGCAAAGAAAAGAGCTGCTGCTTTTGTTGATTGGCTTTGAGTTTTATCCGTGATCGACAGTGACGGACATCTTGTTGAACTGAGGAAGTCGCTTCAGAGAACGGCTCAGGTGGCGACTTCAAGGAGACTGCTGTGATGCTACGTAGGCAACTAGAAGAAAAGGGCTTTTCTGCTGAGTATGTGTTTGAGCCCGGTTGTCTAGAGACACGGGAGCTTTGCCCATCCGTTTTTTGGTAGTTGTATTTATTTATTTCTTCTTTGCTTTGTTTTCATAGCTGCGCTGTGTAGAATACCGTGCGGATACACGGCGAGCTGTTGAAGTTTTGGGGAATGGCAGGTCGAAGCCGAAGAGCATGGTTTAGTGTTTTGTTGGGACTGGTTGTCGGGTTCACACTGGCTTCCAGACTCATTTTACCGAGGACGACAGAGTTGAAGAAAGCCGGACAAAATCGAAAGGCAAACCCTGCAGGCTGTGGGTTAAACCGAGATCCCAGGAAGGAATACGGCGCAGTGTTATGGCCGCAAGATAACGGTTCACCGGCGACCGAGAAGCCTGGTTCCCGGTCCAATAATTTCCTGTTTGTTGGCGTCATGACTGCCCAGAAGTACCTGAACAGCCGAGCTGTGGCGGCATACAGGTATGTGATGCGTCGTAGAAGTATGCAGATTCGCTTGCTACTTAGCCTTTCCACTTTCCGTCAGCCATGGGAGGTAACGGTCCATCAGTGTCAGTTTGTAGCCGTAGCACTTTAATGCGAAGGCGACCTGGACAGACATACCAGTGGAAACATGTTCATCTGGTGAGCTAGCTACCATGAGTCATTTCGATTTTTTTTTTTTTTTTAAAGCTTTTTGTCCTCGGTCCACAGTGACTACTACGACCCAGCCCATAGCGCGATTTCTTGTTGAAAAGGGATTTTTAGAACCATAAAACTGACCAAATGAGGTATTGCGTGAAATATTGTAGCATACAGACATGTAGAGAAGACTGGAACCGCCTGGTGATTCGTTAGAATCTTCCCATGCTTTACCAAGTGACGTTAACTGTTAGCCAGGTTGTGTACATCTGTCATGAAACCCCTGTAACACCTCTCAACATAACGGACTGACCAGACACGGTCCTGGCACTAGGTAGGCTGTCTGCTAAGCGTGGCCCGTGTGTGGCAGCGGGAGCTACGTGTGACTGCGGTCCACTCCAGCCTCTGCCCTGTTGAGTCACTTTGGGGCGTGAGAATGTTAATATTGCACTTAGTTTGAGAGCATGAGAAATATTAAACATATTGTGCCTTTCGTTGAAGCTATATGATAAGACTACGCAGTGGCGAAGCCAGACAGTTTTCATATACTGTATGGTGGCCAGCCTGCAGCTCAGGAAGCCAGGGCTTTGGGCTGGTACAGTAATTAATATTTTATTCATACGTACGTGTGTGTGTTATGGCGCTGTACAGATGTTTGCCTCTGGCCAAAACTATTATGTTTAGTGTGTGTGTGTTTACTTACATTATAGGGACAAAAACATGTTAACAGGGTTAACACACTCACATTGTGGGGACTCGGCCATCCTTGTGCGAACCAGAGGGTGGTCTTAGGAAATCACTGAATCTTGGGGTGACAACATGGTTTAAGGTTATGGTTAGGTTTGGGTCAGGGTTAGGTTTAGGCAAGTAGTGGTTCTGGTTAAGGTTAGGGTTAGTCTACAGGAAATGCATGTAAGTCAATGTAAAGTCCCCATGGGACT